TAGATTAGTATTTGCCTGGGCATGGGGTTGGGAAAACAGATTGACTACAAATAAGCCCTAGAGATCTTTTTGGGGTTGGAAACATTCCAAGATCAGATTGTGGTGATAGCTGCATAAGTCTGTAAATGCACTAAAAATCATTCATTAAATTGTACACTTAAAACAGGTGAATTTTATAATATATAAATTATATTAAAAAGCTCCTAAACATACACACACGTGTACACACACACACACACATTCACTCCAAAGATTCCAGAATGTCACAGAACTTAAGCAATTTTGTTTCTAAAACAGGATTGGAAGAAATTTTGACAGTCCAGAACAAGATACAGGCCTCCACATTGCCTATTATTTTGAAATGTCACTGAAAAAGATTCTCCTGCTTGGAATCCTATTTGTATTCATGAGGGAGAAAAAACCATGGTACAATGATGTATATTGTGTGCAAAAGGGGAAAGTTTGTAAATGGGGCCCAAGTCCAAGATTAATACCTGGAGCAAATGCTTCAAAACCCAAACACTGAGGATACTAATAACTTTAAGACTTTTTGTTTGTGGTTCTTATTAACTCTGGAGTGAAGTAATATAATCACATACTGCCGAAGATTTAAATATAATGATGCCATGTAGTACTATGTGTGTGCAATTTTCCTTCAGTTTTATTCAAGTTAATAAATCAATGAAATCATGTTTAAATTTGCTTGATTCTTGGGTAACTTGCTTTCTTCTCATTTTTCCACTTGATTTTTACTCTGCAGAATCTTGATGTTTCAGTAAATCTTCCAAGTTGAAACCATTGACTCAACATTTTCCCCTCTAAGAACAAGAATACTGAGAATGAATAGGACATTTTAGATTATGGAGCAAAATGTCTGGGTTTGTGATAGCTGTGTTTTTTGGCTCATCAATTTAATGCAGATGGTTTTGAAGACTGTAATAAGTGTCTGTTCTTTTGTTCTAAATAGGAAAATGAAAAGGTTGAGTAATCAAAATTTATTATTGAAATTAGTGTAGTCTATCTCTTTGAATGCAGTAGTAGATTATTTTGAGACAAAACACTGCAGATTTGTTGGGGAAAATGAATACATTTTTGTGTATATAAAATTCCCTACTGTTTTACTTTAAACTGGATGATTTTTGAGGAAACTTCCACAAAAATACTTTATAATTATATACCATGGTAGACATTCAAGACTCATTACAATTTTATACCATAGCATACATTCAACACTCAATTACATTTCCTTGCCATTTTGCATGCAAAGTATATTCCTGCCTCAGGGCCTTTGCACTTGCTATTCCCTCTGCCTGATGGATCATTCCCTAGATGGTCATGGCCCACTGCCACATTTAAGTCCCTGCTCAGATATCACTTCCTCAGAGCAGCCTTCCCGGATTAACCCATCTAAAAATAGCACACTGTCACTATCCCTTTAGCCTGCTTTTTCTTCATAGCACTCAACCACTGTCTGACCTCACATGCTTGCCTTACCCACTAAAATGTAAGGTCCATGAAGGCAGGGACCTCATCAGTATTGTTCATTGCTGTATCCCCAACAATGGTACATATTTCCTCAAGACATATTTGTTGAAATTAATTGAATAAATTGCAATTTGACTTGCAATTTTTTAAATATTTACCTCTTTTTTCCTCCCCAACCACACAGTAAATTCATGGAAGGCAGCCAAAGACCCTGGTTGCTTATTTATCCTCTCTAAAGCAATTAGCTCAGTTCTGCATGGATGATAGACATTCAACCAAGATTTACTGAAAGAATGTTCGGAAACATGGATGTGTTATGGGGCTAACTAGTTAGCGTTCCCTGCAGGTGAACAAACAGTAACATCTTGCCTCTCAGCCCACATTTCACAAAGTTCTTTTATTTATATTAACCCATCTGATAATTTTGCCAATACTTTAGTAGTTTTCAAGGTTTGCTTAAATAAATGGGCTCTCAAATATAACAAATGTTAATTTCTGGTATGAACTATTACTAACTTTGAATACTTTTTTTTTGGCTTACATATCAGTGGCATTTAATGTGTTCTTGGACATCTGAAAAAATATTTTTAAAGACTGAATAACGTTTAAAATAAATGAGTAAAAATAAAAAAGTCTATCTTGACACATAACATGTGCAGGGACAGATTTTTGGAAATGTTTTAACAAAGTCTTCAAGGGGATTATTTCTAGATGGTGGGACCTTGAAAATGTTTACTTTTTTCCCCGGCTTTCCAATTTTCTTAGTTTTTTTTTTTTTTTTTTTTTTTTTAAGTAGGCTCTGCACCCAGCATGCAGCCCAATGCAGGGTTGAACTTGAGCCCCTGAGATCAAGACCTGAGCAGAGATCAAGTGTTGGATGCTTAACCAGCTGAGCCACCAGGCGCCCCTCTTGTTTGATGTTTTTTTAAAAATATTTATTTACTTATTTGACAAAGAGAGAGAGAGAGCGCGTGCGCGCGAGAGAGCACACAAGCCCGGGGAATGGGAGAGGGAGAAGCAGGATCCCCACTGAGCAGGGAGCCCGCCCGATGGGGGCAGAACCCCGGGACCATGACCTGAGTGGAAGGCAGAGGCTTTTTTTTTTTTTTTTAAAGATTTTATTTATTTATTTATTCATGAAAGACAGAGAGAGAGAGAGAGAGAGAGAGGCAGAGGGAGAAGCAGGCTCCCAAGGAGCAGGGAGCCCGACGCGGGGCTCGATCCCAGGACCCTGGGATCATGACCTGAGCCGAAGGCAGACGCTCAACCATCTGAGCCACCCAGGCGCCCGGAAGGCAGAGGCTTAACCAACTGAGCCACCCAGGCGCCCACCTCTGTTTGATTTTTTAAAATAAATTTGATGGAGTGCCTGGGTGGCTCAGTTGGTTAAGCCTCTGCCTTCCGCTCAGGTCATGATCCCAGGGTCCTGGGATCGAGCTCAGCAGGGAGACTGCGTCTCCCTCTCCTGTTCCCTCTGCTTGTGCTCTCTCTGTCAAATAAATAAAAAATCTTAAAAACCCCCAAAACCAAATTTGAAGTCATCAAAATAAACCTGTTTTTTTTTTTTTTTAAGATTTTTTATTTTTAGGTAATCTCTACACTCAACCTGGGACTGGGACTCAAAACCCTGAGATCAAGAGCAGGGCACCCCAAAATAAACCTGTTTCTATACAATGCTTTCTTTTTGTATAATTTGTCAGTGTGACTATCCTTAAAAATACCACTACTCATTTTTCTGGCTTTGTAATTCTCAGTATAGAGCTAATTTCATTCTGAGAATACTCTTAATATTGATTTGTAGTAAATCAACAAATAGGATGAACCAAAATTCTCTTTAGGGTTTTTTGGGGTGTGCTTCCCTATTTATAGCCATGTTATTCTCTCAGCAAGAATAACGGTAGAGCAATGATGCTTCGTAATTTGACCAGTATTTTTTCATCTTTGCCAAAACCCCCCCAAACTTTCCAGGATATTGAGCTCCCAAAATAGAAGGCCAAAATCGGGTATCGGGGACTCATTCTGGACTTTGGACCAACCTCAGACGGCACAGAAGAAACGTGCTCACTTATTTTTCCTCCTTAATGATTTAAAATACTTACAATTCCCTTTTCCTTGTCGTTTTTACCGCAGGGATTAGGAAGACATGCAAATAACCACTTTGTGGAAAATCTCTACTGATGCCAACGATATGGTCCTCATTTTAGGCTTAAAAGGTTTTGGGTTTTCTTAAAGTTAATTCTGCACCGAGGAGAGCTTTCCATGGCTGCTGGTGCACCTGAGGGCAAGCGAGGATTCTTTGCACGCCGAGCAGCGTGTGTGCCTGCCTCCGTGTCTGTGCATCTGTGCGCGTTTCTGTGCGGGCGCGCGCGCGTGTGTGTAAAGCGGGTTTTGGGTGTGTGACGGTGGTTCGGAGCCCATGGCTTACACGCTTAACGAAGAAGCGCGTCCAGCCACGCGGGCGGGCGCAGGTTTCCGCAGTCTGGGCTGGGGTGGGGGAAGACCCGCCAGGGCTTGGGGCTCCAAACCCCCCGCGGGGACGCAGCACCGCGGGTGCGGGGGGCGGCGGGGCTGCCCGCCCAGCCCGCGTCCATCCAGGGTCCAGAGCACATGCTCGGGGGTGGGTTACGTTTTCTCCCCCTCCCTCCCCCGAGGCGGGCTTGGAGCGGAGATCTCGGGAGGGGTCGCGAGAGCGGAGGGGGTCCCCGAGGCCGCTGGGTGGGGGAGGGTACGATGTGGGGGCGGCGCCTCCGACCATCCACTCGCTGCGGAGCCGGCCGGCGTCTGTCCGGCCTCGCCCGGTTTCAGGGACCAGGAACCCAGACCGGGGGCGGCGCGCGCACCAGGGACACCTGAACGCCCAGGTACATGCGGCCCCTTCTTCAGGTGGCGCGGGGACGGTTGCGTCCGGCGGTTGCGGCCCCCCACCGCGCCGCACCGCGGCCTCTGTGACGCACGGCGCAGCCGCCGGGGCTGACCGGGAGGCGCGGCGCGGCGGGGGCGGGGCAAGTGCGGGAGGGCGGGGGCGGGGCGGGGGCGGAGCTAGCGGGGCGGAGCCGGCGGAGGCCCCGCCCCGGGGCCGGAGGAGCGAGAACGCTACGGAGCAGGCGCGTCCCGCCGCCGCCTGCCGCTCGCCCTACTCCGGAGCCGCCGCCGCCATTTGCACGGGGACCCCAGTGACAGGGGCTCGGCGGAGGGGCGGAGGGAGGGGGGGAGGGCCCGCGGAGCCCCCGAGGGCGGGAGCGACGCCGCCGGCGCCGGCCGGGCTCCCTGCGCGACCGCGCCGCCCGCGGCGGGCCCCGAGCAGCAGTAGCAGCAGCAGCGGCAGCGGCAGCAGCAGCAGCAGCAGCAGCAGTAGCGGCAGCAGCCGCCGAGGCCGGGCGTGCGCCTGAGGCGCGGCGGCGGCGGCGGCCCTGCGGGCGGCCGGGAGGGGCGGGGGCAGCGGCCGCCGCCGTTTGATGGATCCGAGGATCGCCTGGTTCCAGCCAGAGCAGCTCGGACCGTCCAACAGTCTGTGGATGCAGATCTGGGAGACGACCCAGGGGCTGAGGAACCTCTACTTCAACCACCACTGTCACAGCAGCGGCGGCGCGAGCGGCGGCGGCGGCGGCAGCAGCACGGCCACCGGCGGGAGCGGCAGCAGCACCGGCAGCCCCGGCGGCGCGGCCCCGGCCCCGGCCCCGGCCCCGGCCGGCATGTACCGCTCCGGGGAGCGCCTGCTGGGCGGCCACGCGCAGTCCGCGGAGCAGCGGGACTTCCTGCCCCTGGAGACGACCAACAACAACAACAACCACCACCAGCCGGCGGCCTGGGCCCGCCGGGCTGTCGCGGGCCCCTCGGCGTCCCCGTCCCCCTCCGCGTCCTCGTCCCCACACTCCTCCGCCGCCGTCCCCGCCGCGGAGCCCGCGGACCCGGCCTCGGGCAGCAGCAACAAGAGGAAGCGCGACAATAAGGCCAGCACCTACGGACTCAACTACAGCCTGCTGCAGCCCAGCGGAGGGCGGGCCGCGGGGGGCGGCCGGGCCGACGGCAGCGGGGGCGTGTACAGCGGGACCCCGTGGAAGCGGAGGAACTACAACCAGGGAGTCGTGGGGTGAGTGGTGGCCCTGCGGCCTGGTGGCCTGGCCCTTGCACACGCGCAGCCGGGCACACGCCCACAGAAGGTGGATTGGGGGGAGCCTGGGCGAGGCCACCCCCCTCGGCCTGCCTTCGTTGCCGCTTCTCCGGGGTCTGATGGCCATCTCTCCATCCCTCCGCCATTCAGACCTTCCCCCACTCCTTCTTAGCGGTCCACACCTTTTCCCCCTCCGCCTCAGCCTTCCAGGCCTTTTCTGGACATCCCCTTAGCCATCCACATCCTCCCCTCACCTCCCTTAGTCATCCACACTCTCCCCCCTTAACAGTCCACACCTTTCCCGGCCCCCTTATCCATCTAGTCTTTCCTCCCATCCCCCCCTAGTCAAACACACCTTCCCCAGTCTCCCCCCTCCAGCCCTCTCCGTCTTGCTCCCCATCAGCACACCCAGAGATGAAGTCTGTTAGCACAGGCAAATCATTGATTCCCTGAGAACATTCCTGTGTTACTGCCTTTTGATGGTACAGGACCTGGAGGTGCTTTCCTTGCCAAGAATAGAAACATCCAGAAAGCTCCTCCCCCTCCCCCAATCCCAAACAGGAATCATGTCAGCCCTGTAATGTTTTGCCTGCCCATCTTTTAATTTTTTATTTAAAATAAATTTCCGGTATTAGCGGTGCCTTTTTCTGTGGGGATTGAGAAATAGGGTGACAGCTAAGTGTAGGCCGGTGGAGATGGTGAGCTCTTCTGAGGCCGATAGAACTTTCTAGGAGTTCAGGATCCTTGGCTTCAGCTTCTTACTGTAAAGTTGTCATCCTGGCAGATACAGCCAGTGCTTTTCATTCTAGGGGGTAGCTTCATGCTAACGAGTGAATGTTGCACCATTAATGACTTTCTGTTTAAAGTTCAGCTGTTACAAAATGGAATCTTACCTGACCCCTGATGAACTATGTACATAAGCAGGGACTGTTTCTAGCTAGATAGCCCTTCTAGAAGAGCCCCTGTCCTGGAATAGGTTACTGAGGCTTTTTTTATTTTGTAAAATAAAAATTTGGGCCGCGTGTGTGTTTAGCTTGAATATGGAGAGTGAGCTTTTAAATTGTTTTTCATTTTCCAGATCCTGTTTTATATTGGGGGCTACAGTAGGCAAATGCAATACCATTAGTAATCCTTTGTGGAGCGTTTTCTTAGATTCACCCATTCAGATCTGCCCTGCTTTGGCAAGCACAGACAGTTCTGTGTACCTTTTTGGAGGTCTGGGTAAAATGAGTTGGTGGGTTCCATCTGTTTCTAGTGGGCTGGTGTCTGCTCTATGCTACTATTACAACTCCCACCTTTTATGGAAAGTGCAGTCAAGCGCTTTAGGACTGGCTCTGGGTTACATGTCAAACCTGTCCTCACTTTTTCAGAGGGGAACCTTTTAGGGTTGAGTCCTCTGTTGCTAAGCTTCAAGGGCGCTCTCCATGGTCATCACGTTTTAATAAAAGGCTCATGGGTTCCATCCTGTTAGCATTTCCAAGACGAAGCATAAACCTGTGGTTTAGCGACAAGTAAATTGATATTTAAAGGTTCTGGTAGTTTCATTTCACAGAAATAAGCTCCAGTTAAGTAATCACTGTCAACTCAAACCTTGAGCTTCCCTAGTTTCGTTTTACTGAAGCTTCTGCTTATGTGTCTCGCGAAGATAGGTGACAAATCCAAAACAGTGGCTGCTTTTCTTTTTGGCAGATTAGAAATGGTCTTCTCCTCTATTTGCTATTTAATGTTAGGGATATTGTAAAAGGTTCACATTTGAACTTATGCAGAGGCAGGATGTTCTTATTCCTGACTCAAATATATTGCCCTCAAAGGGATTAAGGAGAGGAATTTCCATTTCCCAGAGGTTTTAGTGTTTAAAAACTGATTGTAAACCTGTTTTTAAAACTGTTTATCACTTCATAAGACTTTCCATTCTTCTGCCTTTTCCTTTAGAGGATGTCTATGTTATTAAGCAGTTCCTAACTGTTTTTGTAAGTGTCTGGGTTTAAAAATTCTTGTTTTGATTTGTGGATCCTTGCGTCTTGACTTTTACAAAAGTTTTGCTATTTTTAGTACAGGTATTTAAAAATCTCAATTCACAGTGCACCTCAAAGTTACGCTATTCTGAGATTAAATTTAGTAAAACTGTTACTAGCATTCTGAGTTCTGGGGACTGACGTTTAGCTAATAGGTCAACAAATTGTAGTGGTTGCTGGCCTCTGAACCAACTTAAGTCCAGATAGAGGAGTAAAAGGCATATGAACAATGGACTGGAACTGTGGGACGGCTGTATACATACACTCTCTCTCATCTTCTTTGGTCTCTGTGTTCTCTGCCTTAGCCAAACTGGTTGACATACTCCCTGAACACTCCAAGATACAGTTCAAAATCCTGACTTCTCTGTCATCCAGGTGCTTCATTTTTGTGGTTCCTCCTTTGAACTCTTGAATTACTTGCTTCATGTTCTTGCTGTAGCCTGCTCATGTTTATTTTTCCTTTTATGTATATGTTTTCGCTAACCCACTAGGTCCCTAGTTATGATGGAAATTTCTTAAGATTTTATTTATTTAGAGAGAGTGTGCACGAGCAGGGGGGAGGGGCAGAGGGAGAGAGAGAATCTCCAGCAGACTCCATGCTGAATGTGGAGCCCCACGCAGGGCTCAGTCCCAGGACCCTGAGACCATGACCTTAGGTGAAATCAAGAGTTGGTTACCTAACCAGCTTGAGCCACCCAGGGGCCTCTAAGATGGAAATTTCATTCTTTCTTTCTTTCTTTTTTTCTTTTTTAAAGATTTATTTATTTACTTGAAAGACCGTGCATGAGCAGGGGGGAGGGGCAAAGGGAGAGGGAGAGAGAGACAATCTCAAGCAGACTCTGTGCTGAGCGCGGAGCCCAATGCAGGGCTCTATCTCATGACCCTGAGATCGTGACCTGAGCCGAAATCAAGAGTTGGATGCTTAACTGACTGAGCCACCCAGGCTCCTGGAACTTTCTTAAATGTAGAGTAAGATATTTGGATTTCATCCTGAAGGCTTCATATTCTCTCTTAAAATTAAATCCAACTAGGGGTGCCTGGCTGGTTGAGTCAGTGGAGCATGTGACTCTTGATCTCGGGGTTGTGAGTTCGAGCCTCATTTTGGCAGACAGATTGCTTAAAATCTTAAAAAATAAATTAAAAATCCGCTCACCACTTCAGCCTTCTCCATGTACCCACAGACTCAGGGAGTTTGCTTGTGTTCCTTTTTTTTTCTTTTTAAAGTTGCTTTCACTATTCTATTTCTTGGACTTCATTCCCCTCCAAGGCTGGCTGTGGTGTAGGAAGCAGTCCACCTGCTCCTTCTGGTTGTCCATGAAAATGAGCCATAAACCCTTTTCAAAGATTTAATTGTTGATTACCATAGAGAAAGAAGCGACGTCAAAAAAGTAGTGAACACAGTTACCTTATGGAGATTCGGAGTCCTTGGTCTTGAGCCCCCTGTGTCTAGAAACTTCTTGTGGGAGGTGCTTGGAGCGTGTCCAAGCTAATCAGAATAGGTTTGTGTTGGCTGCATTGCCAGATCTGTAGATTTTTTTTTTTTTTTTAAGGCTTGGATGACTTGTTCAGAATAATGTTTTGGAGCATGAATTTGACTGTGGGACATCGAGAAGACCCTGCTGGGAAACTTGAGTTTAAGGAATAATTTCTTGACCAGGGCCACTGGGGCTGGGAATGGTAAAGAACGAATGAGGGTGAGCGCTGCTACAGGGTGAGGGTGGCGAGGACCCCGACTGCCTTCCTGGGTTAAATAATCACACGGTAGCTTTGAACCAGAGTGGGGAAACATTGCTGTTATTATTATTGCAAATTAGGGGTGGCATTGTGGATTTGGAGTAAAACATAAGGTGATGTTTAGGTGGAGCTGTCTAGCAGTGAGTTGAAATTTGGGGACCAGGGCGTCGTCAGCTTTGCTGCAATGGGGCAGTGTCCTTCCTGACGTACGCGGTACTCTAGGTCACGGTAAATCCAAGATGCTGACACTATCCCTCAGCACCGGCATTATGGCCTCTTTCTGCGAATTCCTACGCGCTGTGATCAATAGGATTGCTGTTAATGCTGGGCTTCAAAATAAGTGATCAGGCAGATTAACATGGTGTTGAGTATGAAAGAATTGAGAGGTCTCGTTCCAAGTGCTTGCTCTAAGTATTCATTTCTGTGCATTCGCAAGTGTAGCCCAGAGTAATTCTTCGGTGAATAAAACCGTCAGGTCCTTGAAGTTTATTGCATTTGAGTACCGAAAGGTGATTTCAAGAAGACCTTAGGTTTCCTGCAGGGTAGATTCTATACTAACAGTGTAATTCATATTTGTGGATTTCCCCAAATCTGGTATACTGTGTTCAACTAAGGTACTTCCATGTCATAACTTGTCTTCTTCTAAAATCTGTGACCCAAACACTGTCACTCTCCGACTCATGGGTACGTCAGGGTGTGGAGTCCTTTTCAAGCCCCATTAAGTTTTTAGCTGTTGAAAGGCAAGAGGAACCAGGGAGTGAATAGAGCTATTTGTAGTCTACCCTGGATTCACACAGAAGTTTTAGGATATTGCAGGAAAGGAAGGATAGGAAAGGGGTACTAGAAGGAACCGAGGCAGGGAGGGGGAGTGTGTGCTACCACAGTGCTGGTCCTGGTGTGATAGACGGCCTTAGAGCACAGCTTCTTCCATGAAACCCCTACCAGTGCATCCTAGTGTTAGGAATCCAGAAGAGTCCCTGGGAAGAACATCCAGGGGCTCCCCTGCTCATACGGGCACCAGTCAGATGGTTGTAGTTAGATATTCTTATACCTGCTAAAGCTGAGAAAAATTTCAGCCACTTTTCTGTGGAGGATAGAAAAGCAAGCTGTTGTATAATTTCACTCAGCTTTCTATTCTCCCTTCTGTTGAATCCGTTGGAGTAATATTTAGTGGAGGCAACTATTTCCGGATCACACCCACGGCACTAGGGACTCTGTATTAATCACTTA